GCGTCAACAACAGAGACAGTGGCAGAGGCAATGGGGGAGAGAGAGAGAGAGCAGCTGAGGACTCTAGGCCCATGGACTGAGAAAAGCTGTGTGCCTGTGGACTGGAAGCTGGCTTGCAAAGTGTGCCTTTTGGACATTTAAACAAATATATGTACTTTCTGTTTTATATGTGTACATCAAAATGAAAGGGATGTTAACTGATGGTACATGGAGGGGATTATAATCATTGCAATGACATAAAATATGATTTATTGAATGTAAAATTGATAATCTGTTCCATAAACTTTCACTCAATTGATAATAAAAACTTTTTAAAAAAAGAAATGGCCTATGTCCAACCACATCAAGAGGTAGCATATGATCAAGAGCCAATGATAATGAAGGAACAAGTCCAAGGTGCATTGAAGGCATTGGCAAAGAGCAAGGTACCAGGAATTAATAGAATATAAATTGAAATCTATCAACAAACAGACAGCACTGGAGGCATTCACTCATCTATGCCAAGAAATTTGGAAGACAACTACCTGGCCAACTGACTGGAAGAGATCCATATTTGTGCCCGTTCCAAAGAGAGGTGACCCAATGCAATGTGGAAATCATCGGACAGTATCATTAATATCGCATGCAAATAAAAGTTTGCTAAAGATAATACAAAAATGGCTGCAACCAGATAAGGGCCTGGAGAGAGAGAGCAGCTGAGGACTCTAGACTCATGGAAAGAGAAAGACTGAGTGTTGGTGGCCAGGAGGCAGGCTTGCAGAATGTGCCCTTTGGCTATTTAAATTATTATATATTCTTGAGTGTTTTGTGTACATCCTCACCACCCCACCCCATCCCACTCCCCAAAAAACAGAGGGAATAGAAGCAAATACTGTTGAAGGATGATGCACTGAAGAGATTGTAATCATTGCAATGAAACAATGGTGTAAACCACTGTTCTCCCATGTACACTCTCAATCAGTTCACAGTAAAAACTTTAAAAAAAAAATAAAGACTGCAACCACACACTGACAGAGAACTTCTAGAAGTTCAAGCCAGATGTGGAACAAGGGTTATAAATGCTGACATCTGATGGATCTTGGCTGAATGCAGAAAATACCAGAAAGATGTTTGCTTGTGCTTTATTGACTATGCAAAGTCTTTCAACTGTGTGGATCATGACAAGCTATGAGAATGAGTATTCTGGAACACTTAGTTGTGCTCATGAGGAACCTCTACAAAGACGAAGAGGCATTGTCTACATAGTCAACAGAACAAAGGAAAACCGAATGGTTTAAAATTAAGAAAGGTGTGTGCTAAGGTTGCATTCTTTCACCATACTTATTCAAGCTGTATGCTGAGCGAATAATTCAAGAAACTGGATTATATGAAGAAGAATGTGGTGTCAGGATTGGAGGAATACTCATTAACAACCTGTGAAATGAAAAGTGATACAATCTTGTTTGCTGAAAGCAAAGAGGACTTAAAATACTTACTGGTGAAGATCATAGACCACAGCCTTCGGTTTAGGTTGCACCTCAACGTAAAGAAAACAAAAATCTTCACCACTAGACTAATAAACAACATCAAGATAAATGGAGAAAAGATTGAAGTTATCAAAGACTTCATTTTGCTGGAATAAACCATCAACAGTCATGGAAGCAACAGTCAAGAAATCAAAGGACATACTGCATTAGGCAAATCTGTTACACAAGACCTCTTTCAAGTGTTTAAGGCGAAGAAAGATGTCAGTTTGAGGACTAAAGTGTGCCTGACCTAAGCCATAGTATTTTCAATAACCTCATATTCAGGTGAAAGTTGGAGAGCATTCTTCTATGGAATAAGGAAGACCACAGAAAAATTGATGCATCTGACTTGGTGTTGGTGAAGAATATTAAGAGTACAATGGACTGCCAAAAGAAGAAACCAATCTGTGTTGGGAGGAGTACAGTCAGAATGCCCCTTGGAAGCCAGGATGGCCAGACTTGTCTCTCGTGATTCAGACATATTATCAGGAGGGACCAGTTCCTGGGGAAGGTTATCATGTTGGAGAAAAAGAAGAAGACCTCCAACAAGATGGATTGCACCATGGCAGCAGCAATGAACTTAAACGTAGCAACAATTGTGAGGATGGCACAAGACCAAGCAGTGTTTTGTTTCTGTTGTGCATAGGGTCACTACGAGTCAGTACTGATTCAACGGCACCTAACAACATCAACAATCTTAACCATAGATTAACTGGTGTGGCACCATAGGATAACACATTATATTGCAACGTTGGTTTGAACTGCTAGGTCCACAGTTCAAATTCACCAGTCATTCCTCAGAAAGCCTATACAGAGTCGCTGTGAGGAAGAGCCAACTCAATGGCACTTAAGAATAATAACAATCTTAACTAAAATCTTTAAGACCGAATTTTCTTTCCAACTTATTTCATGTACGAAATTTTTTTTTTCCTACTCATTTCTCTCTTCTGTCCTCATCTTGTACTAAAATATTCACATCACACTTTATATCCCTGCCTATCAAGAAGATGGAAAAATACAGTCAGCAGGCCTTTGGGTTCTTTTTAAGCACTTGCCTCACCCTACACCCATTCTTTCAGTGCCCCACTCTCCTCCCCCCTAACATAATGACTTTAAGGTAGAAAGAGATGAGGAAGAATGGAAATTTACAAGACAGAGCATGACTGATCATTTGTTACCAGGAAAACATTTTCCCTTTTTGTTCTAATAGGCTATAAAACTGATGCAATTAAATCATAACTATAGCAACTCAGCTGGCATCTCGGTCCTTGTGCTTCAGTGGCATCCTTGCACACGGGCTCAGAGCTGGCAAGCTCCAGATCGAGGGCAGCTGGGGGCAGTGGCTGAGGAGTCCACACGGAGGGCACATTAGCAGCAATGTCTACAGGCTGGGTGGAGTGCTGGGGAACAGCATGGGGGGGGGAAGTTGGCTGTACTTAGTTGCAGGCCCCATCATTAAAAATCCCTGCCAGAAGAACAGAATTCCAAACTCTCGTGTACTTCAGACCTTCTATAATCACAGAGGCCTGAAACCATTGCCCTGATATTATCTTTAAGCCTTAAACCAAAAATAACCCCCTGAAGTCTTCTTGAGACCAAAGAACAGTTTAGCTTCACTAGTAATGAATGTCTGCTTGGACCATTGAGCTCTTTTAAGAACTATATATATCGACAGCAGCAACTTGAGAGATCAGGAACCATTGGGACAATGAGTCTATGTTAATGGAGAGAACAATTCAGAAAAGGAGGGTAAGAATGATCCCACAATTCAAAACAACGTAAATCACATCACTGCATTCATTGTACCTAGGGAAACTGCTGAATTGGTGTATGGATATTCTCAATAACAAAAAAGAAAAGAATGGTGTTTTTTTTAAATGTCTGCCAGGGTTCCTCTGACTTGACTTTACCAATGCCAATGAAACCAAAACCAACCAGTATTTTAAAAAATAACATTGTGGGGAGGCCTACAAAAGAATTTCCACAGCTCCAGAGAAAAGCCAAAACGCAGGTCTCAAGTGGAGTTGGAAAAGGAGCCTAGTCCTTAGCCTTACTCTTGTGACATCTATTAAATGTCCCAAACAGACACCCTCACCCAACACCAGCACTTTGATCTTTCTCAAGTTCAAGGGATGAAGCCTGAGGAGAGGACTGGCAATTGTCTGTATCTCCTAATTGTCCAGAACTACCATGGGCACACGGAACAGCTTCCTTCAAGGCCCTTCCATCAGGGACAGGAGCCTGTCCTCTGGAGACAGCCTCGCTAGCTTTGATTCCTGGCTCATTACTCACTAGCTATGCCACCGAGCAAGTCACTTGCCTTCTCTGTGCCTCTGTTCCTCAACTATGATATGGAGATCACAGTCCCCATGTCACCTTGTGGTTGTGAGGATTAAGCAAAGTCTAATCAAATTTCAGGAGCACTGGTGGGTTAAGTGTTGGGCTGCTAACCAAAAGGTTGGTGGTTTGAACTCACCAGATACTCTGCAGAAGAAAGATAAAGCAGTCTGCTTCCGTAAGGATTTATAGCCTCGGAAACCCTATGCAGTAGTTCTACTCTATCCTATAGGGTCACTGTGAGTTGGAATTGGCAGCATGTTTGCCCCATTTCTGACACAAAGGAAGTAATAGCAAATAGTAAATCACATTTCCTATGGAAAACAGCATGATTTTTATCTGTCCCCCAAATAATAAGCTCCTCAAGGGCAAGGACCATGTCAGGTTCATAGCTGCAGCCCCAAAAATGGTTCAGGCCTGGCAAGTAGAAACCCTTAACACACATTTGCAGAATCCACAACCCAGGAGATGCAGTGTAGAGCATTAATTTTCTCCAGTTGCTCGCCCATTTTCCTGGTCTACAACAGTTCGAAACTACCAGCGGTTCCACGGGAAAAAGATGAGGCTTTCTGCTCCCGTAAAGATTTACAGCCTCGGAAACCCTGTGCAGGGTCACTATGAGTCGGAACTGACTCCACGGTCCTTAACAACAACAACAACAATCAAGTAAGAGGCTTTTCAAAGGCAGCCCCTGGAATCACAGACAATAAGCAGACAGAATCACACCTGATGTAGCTGGCTTCTTGTCACTGTCGGCTCATCCATGGCTCCTGAGCGCTCTTAAAACCTTGGCTCTTCACTGAGTGCTCTCTTTATCTGTGTGGCCAACACTTAAGGGAGCTACTTTAGACCCAACAGTGGGCAGAGGCCCAAGGAGGAACCGCTGTGACAAGGTTCTGTGTGACCAAGCTCCTCTGTCCTCCCCACCCCAATCAGCTCTGCCTGTGATAGGGCTCACAACTTGGGGAAGTAGAGAAGGAAGCAAGGAGACAAGACCAGGCTCCTGACCTGCTTTAGAAAACCTCTCTGAGGACGTTCCTGAGAAGGAGGTGTTAGTCTGTCACTCACAGACTGCATCCAAATCCAAGGCAGGAAAGAAGAACCAGATCCTGCCCCCAAACCACACAGTACCCAGGCTGCCTCCCCACCAGTACTCACGCCTTGACATCTGCTGTCTCCTGGGACGTGCGTGTGAGGGTACGGGAACGCAGGCGCTCACCCGCCTGCTGGATTTCCTGTAAGTTCCGTTCCACGTGGGGAAGCTCTGAGATGCCCTCGGTCTCGGCGGCAAGCTGTTCAGCTTGCTGAAGGAGCTCACCAAACCCCTCAGTATCCATTGGAGATATGGATCCTAGCTGGTGGAAAAAAAAGAAGAGCTCTAAATCAAGGGAAAGATAGGCTTCGAACACTGCCTGGATCTGCTCAAAGCTTAACAAAACACTCGGACTTGTTGACAACAGACAAGGAGACAGCTCATCAACAAGCAGAATTTGTTCCTGAACATACCCAAGAACAGGCCTGATAGCAAATATGAGTCAGCCCGTGAAGCAGCAACATAATTTCTGTGCGTACTGACAGCCCCAGATTGATTTCTGCCACCAGAACAAATGCAGAGCTGTTAAGTCACAGATCACAATTCCTGCCTCCTTCCAGACCCAAAGCAGACAAGGAAAGGGAAGGTCCAGTGGCAACCATCCCGCTCCTCCTAGTCCTCCATTGTCAGGAAAACACCACTAACCTGATCCTCACCACAACTCTGAGGTTTCTGAGTAGACAGAGGCTTAGACTATTCTGCTGCAATGAGTCTGTCTGAATGAGAACATAAGAGCACAGAGCTTCTGAGTAAGCCCCGGTTGTTCTCACATACCTGCTCCTTCACGAATATAAGAGAAATTCCTTGTTTATTCACATTCTAATGCGGCGCTGTAGGATAAGCACTCAACCACAAGGTTGGTTTGAACTGCAAGGATGGTGGTTCAAATCCACCAGTTACTCCTCGGAAACCCTATATATACAGGGTAAGTCAGAATCAACTCAATGGTACTTAACAACAACAACAATCTCCACTCACACTTTCTCTTTTTCTTTTCGCTTACAAAATTATTGAGGGCAGAAATCCATATTGGTTTATAATACATGACAATTCAAGATATTAGATTTAATTTTTTACTATACCTACAACTGATACCATTAGTCACAATACCATAACTACTCATAATTATACCAATACAAATAGCAGCGTGTTTCCAGACCATGAACAGTCTTAGATGACAACCTATTTCTCTAAAAAGTGATAAAAAAAAAAGCCCCATGAACAGTGTGATGTTGTAACAGATATTGTTGTTGTTGTTGTTAAGTGCTACGAAGTCAGTTCTGACTCATAGCTATCCTATATAGGATTTCCAAGTGGCTGGTGGATTTGAACTGCCAATCTAGGGGTTAGCAGTCCAGTGCTTATCGTATAGCACCACACAAGGACCCCTTAAAAATATTATACATTTTTAAATCTATATATAGGTTATTGACCAAGAGAATAGTTTAATTACTACCACTACTTAAATGACACAAAAGATTTTAAAAAATATATCACCATCATAAAAATTTTTACACTAATAGATTGAGAACAGAAGTTAAAATCAGAACAACATTTTTAAATAGTCATCCTGATTACACTTTTCTTCTCTTCTTTTAACACATGGTGTGATACCATGATTTACTTAATATGACCCTTCAAGAAAGCATCAAAAGATGGAAGGAATACACAGTGTCACTGTACCAAAAGGAAATGGTTGATGTTCAACCATTACAAGAGGTAACATATGATCAAGAGCCAATGATCATGAAAGAACAAGTCCAAGGTACATTGAAGGGACTGGCAAAGAACAAGGCACCAGGAATTGATGGAATGAAAATTAAAATCTTTCAAATGAGGCAGCACTGGAGGCACTCACTCATCTATGCCAAGAAATACAGAAGCCAACTATCTGGCCAACTGATTAGAAGAGATCTGTACTTGTGCCAATTCCAAAGAGAGGTGACCCAACAGAATGCGGAAATCATCAGACATTACCTTTGATACCCTATGCTAGTAAAGTTTTCCTAAAGGTAATACAGAAACGGCTGCAAGCAAATGTTGACAGAAAACTTCCAGAGATTCAAGTCAGATTCAAAAGAGGACGTGGAACAAGGGATATCATTGCTGATGGCTGATGAATCTTGGCTGAAAGCAGAGAATACCAGAAAGATGTTTACCTGTGCTTTATTGACTATGCAAAGTCTTTCAACTGTGTGGATCATGGCAAGCTATGGACAACGTTGCGAAGTATGAGTATTCCGGGACACTTAATTGTGTTTATGAGGAACCTGTAAATGGACCAAAAGGCAGTAGTTCAAACAGAACATGGGAACACCGAATGATATACAATTAAGAAAGGTGTGCAACAAGACAGGGTTGTATTCTTTCACCATACTTATTTTCAACCTGTATGCTGAGCAAATAATACAAGAAGCTGGGTTCTAATGAGAAAAAACATGGCATGAGGATTGGAGGAAGACTCCTTAACAACCTGTGATATGCAGATGATACAACCTTGCTTGCTGAAAGTGAAGAGAACTTAAAATACTGATGAAGATCAAAGATCTTTGGTATGGATTGCATCTCAATGTAGAGAAAACAAAAATCCTCACCACTGGACCAATAAACAACATTCTTATCAACGTAGAAAAGATTGAAGTTGTTAAGGACTTAATTTTTCTTGAATCAAACATCAACAACACTTATGGAAGCAGCAGTTAAGAAATCAAACAACATATTGCATTAGGCCAATCTGCTGCACAAGAACTTTTTAAAATGTTGAAGAGCAAAGATGTCAACTTGAAGACTTAGGTGCACCTGACCCAAGCCATGGTTTTTTAAAAACCTCATATGTATGAGAAAGCTGGACAGTGAATAAGGAAGACTGTAGAAGAAACTATGCATTTGAGTTATGGTGTTGGAGGAGAATACTGAAAGTGCCATGGCTGCCAAAACAACCAACAGATCTGTGTTGGAAGAAGTGCAGCCAGAGTGCTCCTTGGAGGCCAGAATGGCCAAACTTCATCTCTCATACTTTGGACATATTGTCAGGAGGAACGAGTCGCTGGAGAAGGGTATCATGTTTGGTAAGGTGAAGGGTCAGAGAAAAAGAGGAAGACTTCCAGCGAGATGGATTGGCAAAATGGCAGCAGCAATGGGCTCAATCGTGGCAACAACTGTGAGGTTGGCCCAGGACTGGGCATTGCTTCATTCTGTTGTGCATAGGGTTGTTATGAGTCAGTACCAACTCGATGGCACCTAACAACAACAATGAGCTCAGTGGACTAAGCATTGTACTGCTGACCAAAACATTAGTAGTTTGAATCCACCAGTCTCTCCATGGGAGAATGATGAGGCAGTCTGCTTCTGGAACGAGTACAGCATCGGAAACTCTATGGAGAAGTTCTACTCTGGCCTATAGGGTTCCTCTGAGTTGGAGTCAACTAGACACATGTATGTCAATTTTAGCCACATATGGTTTGGTGACTCCCACAAAATGATTAGGTGGGACTTGCTAGTGGCCAACCAGGGGATTGAACAGCACTGCTAATAATGTAAATATGGTGCATGAAACCCTTTGGGCGTGAAACTATGCAAATAATGTGTATGGAACCATAACAAAGAGATTGGTCAATCTGCTAGGCTTAAAGGGAGCCAATCCCAGAACCAACAGGGGGAATCTTACTACCAGAAAAAAGAAAAGCTAAAAATGGAGTGTATCCTTTGGGCCCTAAGAGCCTCTTAGACCCAGAAGCCAGAGAGAAAGCTGTAATATCAGAGATTGTACAAGACAGAGAAAAGGAGCAGCAGAGAAATGGCAGTAGGAGACCAGACCAAGATGGTGACGTGGGCTTCCTGGCCACACAGTGAGGAGGCTACACAGGGCATCCTGTCCTATGGAGCAAGAGAGCTGAGCGCCTTTGAGCCGAAGCTCACTGAGTCGGGTCTCTGGGCACTAATCAGTAGAGCTAAAGAGCTTTGTCACACTAAGCAAATCAAGGACAAGGCCTGTCCCCAGGGAGCCCAGAGGAGCCCTGTCCCCAGGGGGCTCAGAGGAGCTGAGAAAGCTGTCCTACACTTCAGAAGGGAGACTTTGTCTATGCACTTCCTGATCTTGATTATTAGTTATAACCGACTATAGTTCCCTAATAGACCCCATATCAGTGAGCATGATGTCAGTTCCGTGTGGCCATTTGCAGACAAACAAGAGTGCCATGGGAGGGGTGGCTGGTGTCAGAATTGGTTAAAAGGTTGGAGAGAGTAGGCATGTCTGACTTCCATTTCACAGCAATCAGCCTAGGGCTGAAGTCGATGGTGTTTCTCCTCTTGTGAAGTAGAGGAAGCCTGACTCCGCTATTTTTACACATAGCTTCTACTGTACTTTTGAAATCCCACTGGTCTAGAATTGTAGTTATATTGTTAATGTAAGATATTAATTATACCTCAGCTATGAAGCACACTGGTTAAGTTAAAAGGGCACAGTTATCATCATAAATTCACAGCAGGAGAGTAAGGACTTTTTTTTAAAAAAATGAGTATTAAAGGATATTAGTGCTAAAGGCAAGGGCACAAGGTTAAAAGAAAAACAGCCCAAATGCAGTAAACATGAAAAACACTTTGGTAATTCTTTATGATGTTCCAAGTTGCCTTTATTCTTCAGACAAAATTCGCATATACAACAACTCTTGGAAAGTTTACATATAATCATTGTTTTTTGAACCAACACAGCCAGATTGTCACTGGCAATCTCTTCCACCTGTTAGGAAATGAAGCTGGCAGAACTGGGAAGGTTTTGTCCGGGGTAAGAAATGAACACTATTTCTATGCCTGACAGAGAAATGTTTTTCCCTCAGAAACTTAGAGAACCAATAGCATCGTGCTAACTCCCATAAAGATTGACAGCCTCGGAAACCCTAGTCAGGGCTGCTATGAGTTAGACCCGGCTCCACAGTATACCACCACCACCAACTACCAAACACATAGTCACGCACCAGAAAGAGAAAAGAAAACCAATACTCAGGCTCTTCTGTCCACTTTCATTTTTACTCTAAGATAAGAAACAATTACATTTTCTTTTCCCATAAGGAAAACTGAAATTACCTGAAGAAAAATAATTGAACGAAACAAAACTTTTCTAAGTTGAAAAGGCCTCACCATTATACTCTCACAGCATACACATTCAGATAAAGGAATGCTAAGCTTCTCAAATGGCTAGCCCATACAAACATTCAGGGCGAGGGGCTTGAGCATGAATAACAAATACAAATTAAAAGTCA